CCAAATTAAAAGCGTACCCATATTCAAAATCCCCAAGGCCTGAAGGGTTTGTACAATCCACATGGAGTGTTTATTAATCAAGATTCGGGTAGCTGCTTGAAATGAAGTGAAGGAAGTGTCACCGAATGTGGCCCAAACAACAAGTGCACATGGCCGTGCGGTCGCCTTGCGCAGTTTTCAAGGATCCTGGTGCAGAAGCAGATCTTCCAGGAATTTCAGGACAGATCTTTTCACATTTTTTGTCCCAAAGTCCAAGAGGAAGATCTTGAGCTGAACCGCCTAAGTCTCATGACTCATAACCTCTCCGTCAAAACGGGATCCTGGTCCTTTGCTGCTCCGGGTATTCGCTGATGATTTTTCCAGCTTCAGCCGCCCTCCAGGAGATCCTGACGAAGAAAGTCAGCAACCTGAAAGTAGGCCACAGGGGCATGCAAAATACATTCGATGCCAACATGTTCGATGGCTAGTTCGACACATCAAAATCCACATAAATCCAAACAGACACACACACACACAGACATGTTTCAGCCAGGTGCATTCTCAAATACTATCAGCAAATCTGTTTACACCCGCCGAGTTGTTTGATTGATGGATTGATTGATTTGATTTCTTTTGGTCTTTTGACCGACTGATTAATTATGATTGATTGATTGATTGATTGTTTGTTTGTTTGTTTGTTTGATTCGATTTGATTTCAATTGACTGATTTGATTGATGATCAGCCAGCTGCTCCATCCTCTCCATTGCGTCACGTGTCATTTCCGTCATCTTCACCCACCCTTCACCCTCCACCCACCCTCCACCCTACCCAGCCCGCATCCGCCCGACCCAGGTGACCCCTTGGAGGCTCAGACCGACTTGGGCCCGCTCATCTCCGCGCGGCAGCTCGCGCGCGTGGAGGACCAGGTGCTCCGCGCCGTGGCCGCTGGCGCGGCGCCGCTCACGGGCGGCCGGCGGGCGGCGGAGTGCTTGGAGGGAGCGCTGCGGGAGGGGCATTTCTACGAGCCGACGGTGGCCTGGAAGGATGGGGAGAAAGATGGGGAGTAAGGGAAAGTGGGGGGGGTGTGGAGGTAAGGTGGAGACAGGTGGAGGGAATGGTGGGTAGTTGGTCTAGGTGCTAGATCGACATGATTTGGTGTTAGTTAGTATGATTTAGTATCGACATGTCCATTCTGGTGACATTCAAGTAGAGAAGAGAAGGAAGTGTTGGAGCATTTTGTCACCAGGTGGTTTGCTTCAAGGAAGTTCCTTCTATTGTTGGCCTAAAGCCCGAGGATTGGCTGATGTTTATCGATAAACCCGATAAGGCCGCATTTGGATTTGCAGGGGGGCGATGCGGGAGATAAGATAACCATGAGCAGTAGGTAGGGGGACAAGCAGGTTCATTTGGGCCCTTGCTTGCCCACGTAACACTCAACAAGTAACCAAAATCAGAGCGTTTTCTTTCCTCTGTGGGCACTGTTCTGTGCGTGGTTCTCGAGGCGGGGTTTGCGGGTCATGCAATGGAGTGCGCGATCTGTCTTCCCTTGGTGGGACAGTTGGGCGCCAACTGGAGCTCTTCGCAGCCGCATATATCCAACACATTCCAACACAACCGTTGAGAGGTCCCCAACCCAGCTGAGGCGTGCTGACATTGAAGTTTCGGTGTGTCCATGTCGTTCATACACGCGTCCAACCCAGGCCTTTCATGTACACAACTTTACGCTCTTCGAGCCACATGCATGCCCTGCACAACATGGGTCCTAGCAAGAGTGCAGCATTTTCACGAATTAGCTGCACGCCCTGGTTTTGCAGGAACATTTCAGACAGTTCTTATGACTGCAATATCATGTGTTTGAGTGTCGTGGCTAGCACCACAAGCCAGAAAGTCAATAGTGTCACTCGTGAGGTGAATCCTTAAAGATCTGAACATGTATTTCCCTGCTCCTTAGGCCGTGTGAGCTATACAGTCCTTCCTCCACGACTCGGGACTGGGGTTCCAACTACTGTTTCGTGAGGCTGCGATTGGTAGACATTCCACACTCCCAAACCGCCCTGCAGCAACGATCAACGGTTCTCCAAAGATCCATGGGAAGAGTGTGTTCATGTTTGTGGGCCCCTAGCGGGCCCCTTGCTGCTAGCTTGGCGTTGGGATGCTCTCCGTCAACATCCCAGGTGCTCAGCAATGTCACGGTGGACAACCCGGCCTTTGTGGAAGCTGGGTTTGGATATGTTTGGATTGTTGAAGGAATGTTTGTGCTTTCAGCTTGAAGTAACGGGAAGTCCTTGCAGGTTGCTAGGTGATCTATGTTGCGTTTCACCAGTTGGGCCTTCCAAAACTCACTTGGAAACAAAGAGAGACCACGCCAACACTCACCTTCCAAAGGAGCTTTGGCAGGCCTTTCATTTTGCCCCATACCGAGGTTGCAGAAACATGACACCAAGAACCCGTAAGAAATTGTTAGAATCCTCATATAGAACATAATAGAACCCTCTTGTTGGGCAAAGAAACCATCACCAGATCCACCCATCACCCATCCATCCTCTCCCCTTCTCCCCTTCTCCCCTTCTCTCCTTCTCTCCTTCTCCCCGCCTCCGACCCGGCTCCATGCGGCCGACACCGTCTCCGACGGTTTGGCCCCCGAGGAAGAGATCTTCGGCCCGGTGGTCTCGCTGTCGCCCTTTGCCGACGAGGACGAGGCGATCAGCCTGGCTAACGCCTCCGAGTACGGCCTCGGCGGAGTGGCCCGGGCTATGGAGGGGTGGAGGGGTAGTTCTGGTTCTTTTTTTTGGGTTCTGGAGGAGCGTTTTGGGGGGTGATTGGACTCCAAAAGAAGCTGGTGGATGGGAGGCCAACATGGAATCTAGATAGCAATGGTTTCTCCAGACATCCGGCTTTCGTGTGGAGAGCCTTTCCCTTCCAGACATCCAGAGTCCACCAAAACTGGTAACCAGTCTGGAAACCAGTGGTTCCACAGACTAAAGCCATGAACTTATAGAATCGCTGGTTCCTGATATACTCCCTGGTAGTGCTGGTAACTGAGATCATTTGGTCTTGATCTTCCCGCCCGAGGCGATGTGGACCGAGGACGTCCGAAAGGCCTTCCGGGTGGCGCGCCGGCTGCGGTGTGGACTCACCTGGGCCACTGGGGCACGGTGAGGTGGTTCTTCGGGGCGGAAGGGTGACGGTACGGAGCACTGCTGGGGAGGGGGTCCGGGGAATACTCCATGTACCTTCTATTTTGTGAAGGACTGAAGGATAGATAAAATGGACTGTTCACGTCATTTGGGTAGAACATCCACCTTGAGATCACAGCTGACTTGAAGATGATGCAGGATGCACCATTATGGGTTCGTTGATCGGGACGTCTATCGCGTGCAGATGCTGCCATGTTTGTGTGGCGACTCTTCACCATGAAGATTCTTACAATCTGGGACCACTGAAGACCACAAATGAAGGGATTGATGCGAGGCTTTATCCTCGAAACCTCATCCTTTGGATCGTTCTGGAGCCCCCTACAAGCATATCAAATGCTACCATCCCTACAATCCCTACCATCCCATCGCTCTCCTTCGAGCACCTCTCTCAGGTGAATTGTCATCACCGGAACGATCCCAGCAGCCCCTGGGGCGGCTTCGGACAGAGTGGCATCGGCCGAGAGAATGGGCCCGAAGCCTTCGAGGAATACACCACGACGAAGAGCTTGACCATCAGGACAGCGTTGGCATCCGCGGATAAAGCCTTTCAATTAAATGCTACAACATTGCCCATGGCCAACCTTCATGTTTCTTGCGCTGTTGGAGGTTGAGAAGGGCGTGCCGTCATGGTCCCTTGCGCGTCAACCTTTTGGCGAGGTTCCAACAACCTCCGCATAACAGAATATGGGGATAGGTCAAACCTGGAGCCCTGGTCCACGTTAGCTTGACCTTCCAGGTGCAGGTGAACCCGTTGGGTCTCCTGGTGGTTGTGACCTATTTAGCCAAATGTCATGTTTTTGTGGTTCAGTCCTGGATTGTCCTGGATTCCCCAAGCTCTTGCTTCCCCAATTGCTTCTCACTTCACACTTCATCACCCCCCCCCACCGAAAGAGCGCTGCACGTCCTCACCTCGGCCGCGCAGTGCCGTCCTCAGGACCAACGACACGGCGGAGAACTGGTTTGGCAGCCGCAGCGCGCGCTACGGCTGACGCCACGAAAAACCGTGATGTCCTGCGTTTGGCATGGCAGAGCGTGAAAAAGAGCTCAGAGGGGGGCTAATTGGGCAGTGGAGGATAGGTGAGACAAGTTAAAGAAACTCGAACAGTTGGGAGACTGAGGAGGTTCTCTTCTACAATCAGGGCAGTCTTCTCATACAGAACATGAAGAAAACAACTTCAACACACTTGGACTTGGTGTTACAAGCCTATGGAAGGTTCAGGAAAAAAACAGACGAGTCTACCCAGCCAGGGGCGAGATTTGGGGGGGATCTCCCTGTGAAAAGTGCACGGCCCTTTCAGATTAGGCAGAGATTTCAAAGAACAAGGGAGTTACAGTAACTTGTGCCATGGAACCTGTGAAACCACGGTATATTATGAACTCATCCAGGCGACTGTTCAACGCCAACCAAAGCCCTCGACGTTTCAAGCGAAGAAACCGCAGGGCACCGCGTCGGAGCTGCGGGAGATGGGTTTGGACTTGGAGCCGCAGAGGAGCTTCGATGTGCAGGCAGAGTGGCTGAGCGAGTGAGCGGGCTGGGCGCTGGGGGTCAAGGAGCATGGTTGGCCGAAACGGATGGACTTTGTTGTGATTTCCCGATGTATTATAGTGTATTCTGCATTTTTTTAAACAGTAGCTTTTAGGAGGATGTTGGAGACTGTTTGAAGACTGGGCTTTTTTGGGGCACGGGAGAATTCCAACCACTGGGGCAGTGGACTGGAGCTCAAGTTTGGGATGTTTGATGTCCAGTGATGCCCGGTGGGCCTTGGGGCCTTGAATCGTTTCAGATTTCTGCCAACCTCAAGGACCATCTCCAGGCGGGTGGGTTAAGCTGACCCAAACACCTAGAAGTGCTTGCTGCGCTTGTAAGAGGACTAAGGAGTATGGAACATTTTGACGAACACATGGAAGTGGAACATGCGCCTTTGGAAGACGACTTTCCTCTACAAACGGGTGAACTCCACTTCCATGTGTCGTGAGTAGAGTCAAACAGCCCCTCATTGATGTTTTACCGGAGCCCCTCTTTTTCTGACTAGGTGCTCTTTGGGGACCGGCGGCAAGAGCACTACCGGGCGCTGGCGCGGGCGTTGATCGAGCTGGTGGCACAGAAGTCCACGAAGCCTATCCTGCTGGGCCACTGGATTAGCATTTGAGAGGTTGGTGCAGCTGGGAGTGTGAGTAGTATTTCTACTACTCTCATGACATATTAATTATTTATATGTTAATTACAGTATACGCAGTATATTACGTTTCAGAAGGGCAGGGAGATTGGCAACTGTTTATTGTTCTTTTGTGTTTTTGATGTTTTAGGTTGGTTTGAAGGTCATTGCCAGCTCTGAAATACACAGAATTGCCAGTTGCGGCATGAACCATCATTGAATCATCATCCACTGTTGCTGGTAATGGGGCATAATTACGGTAAACCCAATATATATATATATTATACACTCCAGAACGTAGATGGTGTCTTTCGATTGTCGCCACCCGTCCTTCCCAAGGCATCCATCTGCAACACAATGGTCCCGACGTGTTCAGGCGCGTCCTGCGCCATACGCGGTGGTGGACGTTTGCTCGGTCTGGCCCATCGTCGTGTGGTTCCCTTTGGATCAGGTACGTTTGCTCGGTCCTGCAAAGCCGAAAACCCAGCAGACAGCCTTCAAGTGTAAAATCCCAGCTCTCGAGGCCTTTCCCCCCACGACCGGGAAATCTGCTGGAACGAACCAACTCGACTCCACTGCCTGGTGGTGGCAGCTGAAGATCCCTCACACCGAAGGTTGTAATTTAAGCTTCTTGTGCTGCTTGGCTTTTTACGGACAACCCGGCTGTGTACCAATCCCCAGGTCCTGGAAGGCTTTGGCCAAGTCCAATACTTCTTTCGTGCTGACTTTCCCTAGACTCAGCTGCGTGCTTCGGGGTGTTAGTGCAAAACCACCAGCTTCTACACTCCAACTCGCTAACATGGAAGTGGAAACGCCCCTGTTTGTAGAGGGATCCATCCGCCAGACCGACCCGCCGCACTGGCAGGGCCATCCTCCAGCAGTGGCGTGAGCGGCTGACGATCGCCCCGGCAGTCGAGGCCGGTGCTGATCACACCTGGAAGCGTGAGTGATCCCTATTTTGGACCGCCAGAATGGCTTACACATGGCTGAAGTGGCTAATGTTCGGTGCCAGTGCCACCCTCAGTGGCATGCACAGAGCTGAATATAGGAGATTTCAAGGGTCGAGTATTCAATGAAAAGCTCTTTGGTCCCTGTCAGGAAGACGAATTTGCAGACTACGAGGGCCGCGAAACCTGAGCACAGGGCATTGACCAAAAAGCTGAGTGTGGATGGGGTGTGAAACGAGGGAGCGAGGGCAGATGAAGGCAGCGAACGGTGCGTGGACACCTTCTAGATCCATTGATGCCTTACTTCCGGATTTGCGGAGCAGGGGTAGGGGAAGATCCAACAAACCTGCAAGTAACCCTTGTGGAGGGGTTAAGTGGTAAGGGAGGTAAAGAAAGACCAGACTCATGCCAATGCAAGAAACATATAGAACTACCTTTGTCGATGGAGTTGTGGGGCATGGCTTTCTTTTTTGCTCACTCAGCTTGCAGGAGGCATGCCCTAGAAGGCGGTTCTCCTTCTGAGAAGCAGCCGTATTCTTCCACTCCACTCTCTAACATATGACGCCCCTTGCTACCTCCAGCACAGCCATCTACAGCTATTGAAAGAACAATTGTTCATTGGCCCTGGAAGGGTGGGGGTGGTTTTGTTTCCATTCTTCGAGACAGACGGGCCGAGGCGAGTGAGAAGACGACCAAATCTTCTGTGTTTGCCGCTTGGCATGAGGATTTGGGATGCCTAGAGTGCCTGGACGGTGAGGATGTTGTCCACTATGGCAAGGTGAGAGTTGAGCCGTTGGAAGAAGAATCACGGACGATATCCATGAGAAGAGCCAACCATTGCCAACCATGAACATACCCTACAAGTCAAAGACCTCATTTTTCTGGAGATGGTCATACAAAACCAATACTTGAGGAGGTAGTCTAGACCAGGTTCTACTGGGTCAGACTGGACTTGTAGGGATATGTAATGATATCGTTGTCCTGCTTGGGTTCCGGAGGAAGACCGGGCTTCGGCAGCTCCCCGTAGGGCCTTCTGCTCCCGGGCATCGCCGAGTAGGAGTATCAGTGCAGGTGGGCATGGACACCATCAAGGTGCGCTCCAAGTATCTGTGGAGGCCGCAGGGGGCTGCGAAGACCGTGCGTCGTGGGGTGGTCTTTGTCTTCTTTTTCGACCCGATTTGACCCCGATGAGGCGGTTTGGGTGGAACAGGCTGGGAGAAGCTCGGAGGTAGCGGTGGCCTTTTTTACACCGACAGCGGCTGGAGGGTGACCAGTTGGTATTACTTATTATTTATTATTCATTGGGCTTTGTGCACAAGCTGCCGCTTGAGTGACCGGTGCGGGGTTTTGCTCATTTTTGGGGGGCTCATGGCTCATGGTCAGCACTACCCAGGCATTCCAACAAGCATTGTTTGAACCATCTTTGCCAAACAACCATTGTTTAGTTTTACCAAGGGCCAACAAAGTCAGCTCAACCTTTCAAAGGAATGGTCTTTGAAGTCCAGCATCCAATCCAGCTGGAGACGACCTCATAATCAGCTGGAGACGGCGCAGTAGACCATCTCTGAAACTAGGTTCAGGCAGGGATTGAAGATTGACAATTCGGATTTGACAGATTGTGCCGTTCGTTCCACAGTGCAAGCAGAGCAAGTGCTGCAACTGGTGGCAAAGGAGGAACTCACTGGTGAAACTTTATTCTAAAAAAACATGATTAAACACGTACAAAAAGAAGTTTGTTTGACACAGAAGTGATGTGAGACTGACACCATTTTTTTGACTTGAGGGAGGATACATGAAGCTACTCGGATAGTGCGCATGCCATGGCCCTTGCTGGGCCTTGGAGTCATTGGATCCTTGCTATCCAAAAGCTCGGAGCTCGATGGCTCGAGTTGGAGTGAGGCGGCAAGCATGAGACTGTAGCAGGGTTAGAAAAAGAATGGCACCATGGCGGCTGGGTGTCCAGCCATGCCATCGGAAACTGTTGCTTTGAGGTCTTATTATTCTTAATTGAATCTCTATCCTACTTTGGTATACCCCTAGGCCCTAGACAAGCCGCAAAGTCCACAAAGAGATGTGCTGACGACACCAGAACGTTAAGAAGAGCATTCCGTTGGAGACTTGCTCCATGAATCGCATCGCTTCCTCAGTTGGACAGTCCTTAGACTCCAGGAACTCCAGGCCCACTCTTCTCTTGACAGGCTTTATATCAGCCCGGCACTCCACCAGGCCATGATAACCACTTGCCCCATCGCCGCCATACCCTCGCGCTTTGCGCCTCCGGCTGCACGCCTCAGAGCACCACTCCGACCCACGGGGCAGCGTGCGTCGCCCCGTTGGCTGTGGCTCCCCGCCGCGGGCGCCGCGGCCCGCGCGACACGCCGCCCGCGCTGCGCGGGCACGTGTGGGGCCTGGCTCTGGGAGCAGGGCGAGGCCACCGATCAGGAGGTGCGGGTCCGAATTCCGGTGGCGCCCGAGACCATGGCAAAGGACGTGGTCTTTGAGGCGGGAGACCTTGGGGCAAAGCTTTGGAAGTTGACAGAGGGATGTGTTCTGAGTTGTGGGGCTGAGTTGGATGTGTTCTGTCTCCAGCCATTGTTCGGAACGGCTGGGGCTCCTCATTGGTTTGGGTCAGGTATAGGGAAGGGTTTAAAAGGTGGCAAGTTGGTGTGAGGCAAACGCCGCCCATCACCAGGCTCCACAGATCAAGGACCACAATTCCCTGGGTCGGGTCATGGCAAAAGGACCGCACTATGAGGTCAAGGACCAGGTTTTACTTAATCCTTGCACTGGTATGGAAATGAAGCCCCAAACCAAGGGAGCGACGGAGTTGCCAGATTAGTTTCGCTTTGAACCCACCGTTTTCTGCACCACGAGCGCCAGGTCCAGGAGCGCTTCCTCCGTGTGGCTTTGTGGAATGGTTCGATTCAGACGCCCCTCTTGGAGGGAGAGCTTTGGAGCTCGGCAGAACCGGAGGAGAGCTACTTCGAATTGGAAGATGAGGCGCGGCGCGAAGACGAAGCAGACGAAGCATCGGGCACATGCCGCTACTTGGTGGTGTACCTGGCCAAGCAGCGGGTGGAAACCTGGGAAGAAGTCTTGAAGCCTGAGCTTGAAGCACTTAGAGGAACTCTTTTGTTTTCTTGTGGTTGTGCATTTTTACGGTCCACACCCCAGCTCACCCCCTTAACTGCACAAATTGGTACGATTTTCTGGTTGTGGCTTTTGGCTTGGTGTCCAGAACATTTGTGCGGTAGAACATGAGTACTGGTGGGAGGGCGCTGGCGTTGTACTGGCGTTGTTTCCTTCTTTTTTGAGGGGGGGCATGCGCATGTTATTTGAAACGAGTACGTGCACGTTCCTACACGTTATGTATAATTAATCAGATGTCATCAGCGCTGACCGCCACATGTATAATTAGACATCATTATCATGACCGCGTAATAGAAGGTGATGTGCAGCAGAGGTTCCGATATCCAGGAATTTAGTTGGAACAGATCTGGTTGGAGCACGTTGGAGCATACCTTCTGAGGGGGGTTCTGTTTGTTTCAATGCTGAAGATACTCGGCAACACTTTTGAGGCAGCATGCCTTTGGATAGACTGTAAGATCATGCAAGGTGCTCATGTACGATGAGTCCACTAGTCCAGTGGTTACAAAGACGAACATCTATAAGAGATACAGAAATAACCTAGACTCTTGATGATTATTTAAATAAGAGTACGTCCCCCTTACGAGGTGTTATATTCCGGGGACCATTGTGTTCATCAAGAGTCCCTAGCAACTTTGCTTCCATAAGTCCATGGGGGCCGTCCACACCCACCCAGCACCGATCCGCACCGATCCGCGGATGTGCTGCGAAAGACCAGCGAGGAAGCCGCCGTATAGCTGGGCTCCTGCGGGGCGACATAATGAAGAGAGCCTGGGATGATTGGGAGCTTTTGGAAGGGTGAACTCTTAAGCTAGACGAGGATACTTGTAGGATCTTGTAGGTCAAGTGATGTGTGCTCCAACTGTTCTGTGTCCTGCGTGTTTGCTATAGTCTCAATGTTGTTGTGCAAAGCGCATTTCTCAAGGTTCTTGCATTGTTAGATTCAGAGTCGACCCTAGTCGCATTTCCAGCTCACCATCATGACCTGGGGCAAGGATCCGCATCGTGGTGCCCATCCCAGAGGATTGCACAGCACAGGAGGTGGACTTTCAACTGGCATATGGGCGATGCTGGGATGTGCAAATGGTGGACATGTGCCATGCTTGGGAGGTGTGTAAGAATGTGCAAAGGGGTGTGCATGAAAATAGGGAGGAACTCCCAGGCAACGACGGTTCAGGGAACTAAGACCAGTCTACCCAGCCAGGGACGAAAAGGGGGATCTCCCGGCTATTAAAAATACACACCCAAATGGTGTGTATATAGGTTATATAAGTATATTAATGTGTGCAACTGCTGTGGGGTGCCTTTTAGGGCCATGGACATGCCACTGGATCAGCTCACGACAGCAGGCAGGCTACTGTTGCTTCCAACTGATAAGATTCCCGCGACTGGCACGTCCTATGCCTTAAGAAGTGCCCAAGATAGACATGTTTTCACCCATTGATGGACAGATCTTAAGTTATATGATCACACCTTAATAGATTGATCTATTGATAGATAGATTGCACCCTACGATAGTCATTTCTGAGCAAAACCAGCGGACGAACCATTCAGCCCGTGGTGCTCTACGGGCGGAGACAGGTAGGCGGCACGTAACGGCGGCTACCGAGCGAAGGCTGTGGAAGGATTTGATGCTGTAGGTGTTTCAATTGTGAAAATTCCCAGGAGAGGGTAAGTGTCGTAAATAGAACCCCTCACCTGGGGTACCCAACTGTGATGGTCGAACTAGGATTCTTCAACCTCTGTTGGTTGTGAACGAGCCTGAAGATCTCCAAGATCCTTTCAAGGATATTTTCATGAAGAAGAGTCATTCCTGAAACAGATTAAACAGATATACAGCAAAAAGAAATAGAGAAAGCATCACTCAACCTCCACGGCAAGTCTTCCAGTATCCAGCCTAAGATTCAACCTTTCGATTACAAAACACAGGTCTATCGGCGAAACATTCGGGTTCAGCAGACTTTCTGGGATCAACTCAATGACCATGTCGAACACCGGCATGTTGGGAGCACACATAGTTGCTTTTGCCAACGTGCCAACGGCCAAAAGTCCCGTCAGGAATCCAAACAACCACCCAAAAACCAAGGGAAACATCTACTGTACTAGTCAAACTCCACCCTTGGAGTGCAAATACCTTTGGAGTCAACATACCTTTGGAGTGCAAAAATCATCAAAGTGATTTGGGAGTCAATAATCCCAAAAATCACAACTTCTCCTCAGGAATCCGCCTCACCTGTCGCGGCGTCGTCCTTCTGGACGGTGAGCTCTGGGGTGCCGTCGACCTCGACGACTGCGAGTGGATGATCGAGGACTCGCCGGTGAGAAGCGACGCGTCCGGTGGAGCGCCAGCAGCGGAGGATCGAGTGGAAGGACGCTGTGTGGTGATCTCTTTGGGGAAGCTCCATGTTGCTCGGAGATGTTGGAGTTGGAGTGGAGCATTTGGATAGTTCAAAAGAGACGTCCAATATGTCTGTCTAATTTCATAAATCAGGTTGAAAAGAATCGCATTGGCACTTAAGCTTTGGTCAGGGAAAGAAGCACGGATGGAACAACAGGAATGAGCAGCCTCCAGCAACACGGAAAATCCAACATGTGGGAAATCAGGAAAGCAAAAGACACAAGACTCAAGACAGGGACAAGGAACAGGTTCAACTTTGGGAAGTAATGATTATCATTGCAAAAAAGCAATTCTGGGACAATAGGCATTCAGTTTAGACAAAGGTGAGGTGGTTGTTGGTGGTGAGCTCTGGAGATGAAGCCCGCCCCCGAACCAACAGACAGTGGTTGCTAGTCTCGACGAACGCAGCACAAATCAGGATCGCATGATGTGCACACCGCCAACGAAAAAGACTGTGGCAGCGCACAGTGGGGAATTGCTTTTTTTTGGTGCTGTGGAGGGACATAAGAAAACATCTAATGATGTGTTTTCTTATTTCCTGAGCCCTTGACAAACACACTGTGCAAGAATTCATTTTTGCAGAACCCGGCTACCCTCATTTCCCTTGCCCCAGACTTATGTCCTTTTGGGTATGATTTCACAACCTTAAGTCCCCGATTTGTGAAATCTAAGACCCTGAGAAATCCATATGTGAGAGGCATGTTACTTTTGGAATTGGCAGTGCCACGCGTACGGCGTGTGAGCGCGATATATCCCCACCGCATCAGGTCCGGGAGCATTGGGAGAGGCTGCTGAAATCGGAGGAGGGCGCGACAGGTGGATGGGAAACTTTTAGGTCACTCGATGGCAAGTCACGCATCTTCCGTTTTTGTTGCTGCGGTGGGATGTTCTTGATGTGAGTTTCCCCAGAAATTGGAATCGCTGACCAAGAGTTTTGTAGAATCCTTTTGTTAGTTCTTCATGTGAGGCCAGGCTCGCGAAAGGAAGTGGATATGGCGGTGTTGGGCTCTTTGGAGTATGTCAACAGTTTGCTGAACCAGCGCGACGCGCAGTACGCGCGGGAATATTTGGACTACATCCTGCCGGAGTCTTTGCTTGGCCAGCAGTTTCTTTGGTTTCTTCATGTGGAACCATTTTTAAACCCAAATGTTCGAGCGGAGCATAGCAGAGCTAATTGTCGCAATTAGTGTCATGAAAAGGTTGGCGTGGTTTGGGTGGATTGGATGATGCAATCAATGTTCACAAATCAGTTCGCACTGGTTCTATCTACATGCGCTGCACGTGTGTTGGCAATTTTTTTTGCACAACACCTTCCCGTTGATGATGACAAACGGGCCTTACTAAGATATAGCATGATATAGCCCCCCCGCAGCACTTGCGACTGTACAGGCTCAGGGCCTACAAGACACCCCCACGGGAGGGCGGCAGTGGTCCCACCTTCCAGCCCTTTGGGTGGATATCAGGCTGAGGTAAAATGGATTGTGTTCCAGTGGGCCTGCTGGGTAGGGGTTTCAGATATGTGTATGTCATGTGAGCAACTGCCAAAACCTCTGATGAAGGCAGCGAAGACTAGGCAAGTAAAGTGAAGGAAACCTTCAGGAATGATGAGGTTCACAGAACAGAAACCATAAGGTTTTAGTACATGTTGTTAGGTTTGTCCAAACCCTCAGGAACGATAAGGTTCACATTAAAAGCCATTGATAACGTTGGGAAGAGTGCGCACTACGACACATAAGAGGTTTTGCACGTCTCTCATGTATTGTCAACCTTTACTTGCTATGATTGATCTCACTGACTACTGTGATCTTTCTCAAATGAGTTGAAACTATCAACCAGCCTGGTACTGACATCTCTCAAGCATCACCTGCCAGTGTTTGGGCTTTATCCTTCCCGTGGCAGTGAATCTGAGGAAGACGAAGCTGAATTGGCTGAATTGACGGGTCAAGAAGAACGCGCACAGGAGAGAAAAAAGAGCAGAAAGGGGCCAGTGCGCCATGAAACACGCAGGGTGCACACAATCGATCCACCATCGGGGTTTCAAGTTTCACCGGGTAGAGGTGCACAAAGCCTTTGTCAGCAGGTCCTGCCAGTTTTCCGACAACACCATGGGGGTGGTTTGTGGTTTTGTCTATTGTTTTCATGTGCCTCTTAGACTGACTGGTGCTTAGTAGGGAATATGGGAATGGATCCTGAGGGGTCTACAGGGGTGGTTCATTCCCTCATTCCCTACGAGTCGCACGAGTCTGTAGAGTTGCAAGACCCGCATCAAGTCACCAGTGCCCTCTTCAGCTCGACCCGCTCGGCGTGCTCGGCACGAACGATCTGGCAGGCTCCTCCAGAGCTCCTGTCGGGGCAACGTGGTGCGACACGAGGCGCGGTGCGACAGGAGGCGCGTTTGGTCTAGCCTGGGAGATGGGGGAAAGGCCCAGGTTACGAAGCATGCGAATGCCAGTGGCATTGCAATGCATCGCCCAAGCAATGCCGTCCTCCTTAAGTACTTTCAGCTGGTCCAACGGTTCTAAGGTTGCACTGCTGAGTTGGTAGCAGGATGTGAACTTTCCAGACCTACATTCTGACATGGAAGTGGATGGCACCCCCTTTCTAGAGGAAGGTCGTCTTCCAAAGGACGCTGGTCCACTTCCATGTGATCTGTTCGCCAGGAGTGGCCAAACGCCACTTGGGGTGGTCGCTGAGAACACTCTTCCAGGGTCCATTCTCACGGCCATAAAGCGTCCGTCTGCAAGGGGGGTTATAGGAAACGGCGGACGGCCGGTGCTTCGCCTCGCCGCCGGTGGTTGGAGAGCAAGGATGGCCGCTTCACCGTGGAGATCCACAAATACTCCTACGAGGCGTTCTGCTTGCGGCAGAGAGGACGCGGGTGCCAGGGCAGCTGTCGTCCGTGGCTGTCCCACGTCGAAAAGGGACGAGGTGATTGGGGTCCAATGCCCACCGACGTTGAGAAAGCTTTTCAATTGGATCTGCAGGACCTGCGCCCCTTTATCTTAAACTCACCGTCCTAAACTTCTATTGTTCGGGAGGTTCCTACACTGGAAGACTCCTTAGGAGACCTTTGCCCCTATGATCCCATATCTGATCATGAGGGCAGCAGCCATTTGCGCCCATGTGGCTATGATGGTCGTCGCTATAGTCGTCCAAATTGGGCTTCGAACTGAGCGCCACGGCCGTCAGCGACGCTTCTGGAGGCCTTGGAAGCCTATGGCCGTTACCTGCACGAAGATCAAGTGATGTGCAGGTGCGGCTCGTGCCGTGCGGACGCAGATACGTCACACTGAGTCCGCGGGACACTGAGCGCCCTGCAGTTGAACAATCAAACAAATCAAACACACAAGCCAGGGGAAAGAGGGACACCAAGTCCGGTGCTCAAAACTAACTATATAATAAGCCTGACTAGACTTTAAACTTGAACTCAAGGGGGTGCCGTTTCGGATGCTACGGCTTGACCATCAGAGCTGAAAGAGAACGGGCACCTCATCAGCGACTGGACGCCCAGACAGCTCAATCCGTGAGATCTTGGAAGTCCCTCAGCGCGCGCCGCGTGGAGGCCCGAGGTGGCCATGGAGCTTTTGGAGCTGGCTGAGGACGCGCGTGATGCGAGTCGTAGATGGATGCGCGATGCGACGGCCCGTCGTAGCGTTCTTGGGAGAGAACGGCGGGAGGTCGTGCCAGGGGCTGTTCCGGGAGAGTGTGTGTGCTCCATGGGTGTGCCCGTGCAATCAGGTCTTGGCTGATTCAGGGGTAAGTCTTTCTGCTTTGGCAGCAGATGGCTGCAATGCTCCAAGATGGTGAAGGATTGATACTTGATACCTTTTGATGTAATTAGGTCTTCAGCTCCAACGGCTGTTTCGAGGACCCTTTGCGGTAGCTTGACAGAGGTGAGGCCCTTGACGTAGGTAGGCAATGTAGATCATCCCGCATGCGAGGAGTATGTGGACTCCACCGGGCTAGCGGAACAGTGCGCGCAGCTGGTGAGGCAGTGGTCTCAGTGGTCTCAGGGTGGACTCCGTCGGCTGGTGGAATGTGTCGAGGGAGAAGCGGTTCATTTGGCGGTTCTTGGCTGGTGGAATGTGTTGGGCACTGCGGGGAGAATTGTAGGGAGAGATGCTTGTTTGCTCTTGCAATCGTTGCATATTTGTGAACGTGGCAGATTCATGGAGGAGCTGTGATATGTATGATGTCATGTTGAAGGATGTTGGAGGCAATGTTCCAATCTCCATTAGGCATGCCATGCGGGCTTTTTTTCATTGAATGCTACGGTCTCCTGGAGCATTCGCGGGCGCAATCAGACTACCGCCGTGTGTCGGTGCCAGGCGCAGTGTGTGTCAGAGCAGCTTGGCCTCCTGCGTCGCGCCTGGGTGCCCAAAACAGGTCTAAGCAAGGTCCAAGCGCATTGGTGCCGAAAAAGGTTCGTTTCAAGCTGCTAAGTGGATCAGCCCATGCACCTAAGACATTTTATATAACACCTTATGGCACCGTTTTGACATCTATGCGGCGTATTGCGGCAGGAGATCCCCCTAATCCAAGAAAACATGTTCAGTCTCTCTGTACCAGCACCCTCCAACAGGTCTCCTCCGGAAGCTTTTGCAGACTTATAAGTCGCAGGTGGTGACCTGTTGGAGGGTGCTGGTATATATATCTCTTTATAAGGCATGTTTGCTCCCGTTGAACTCCCCATTGAACTCCCCGCTCACCACGCCACGCCGAACCAAACATGCGCCGCGGAACACCGAGGTCGTGTCTCTTCCTGCGCCGTGCGGCGCTGGCCGTGGAGCTCACCAAGCTGCGGCTCTGCCGGGGCCGCGGCGCGGCCGGGAAGACACATCACCGAGGTGACGGGAGATCTCAAAGGGGTCAGTGTAGTCATAGATATGGCAGGAAGGTGCTGCAATTGTTGCCATAGGCCCCGCGAAATCCACGATTTAGACCAGACTGTCCGGGTTGAACTTGGATGCTTCTTTCAAGGTCCATGATTCTGGCCCAAATCAGGGAGCCGAATAAGTGACACAAGTGACTCACCACGAGCAAGTCACATGGACTGTGCAAATACCAAAAACAGGGTGAACTCCACTTCCATGGTTCCATGGAGGATGAGTGGAAGTGTACCTTTGAACAAGCTAGCATTCCATAGAGAGCTCCTGAGACAAGCTCTCCCGTTCCCATACATTCCCATTCCCCGGCCACAGCCCTTGGATGATCTTCAGCATTCTGATTCTGGAATCCGAAAAGCTTGACCAGAAAAAGAGAAGCCCGACCCGGCTAGAAAGCCTGGCTGGCTAGCTGGGCGCACTGAGGTGTGGACAACTGCTGCGACGTGTTGCAAGTCCTGGAAACCATCGACTGCATGGACCTGCAGGCGCTCCGAACCGTCCTTCGCTCCGCGCTCTCTCCGCCGCGCTCCTCCGAACGCTCCCAGCGCGAGCTCCGCGGAAGTGGCAGAGTTTGTTCCGGTCGGCCGAGCGCCGTGGCCGTCTTCGGAAGAACGTGCGGGTGAAAGGGGGAAAACGCCTTCTACCCGACTCTCCCGCCCCCCCGCCCAGGCGGAGTACATCCGCAGTATCGTGATGAACTTCGCCGCCGGCAATGCCACGGCCGGGGGGGGGGAAAGAGCTGAGCTTCCATGGGGGAAGGGCTCGAAGCGGTGAAGATTTGAGAGAGGTGGTTTTGATCAAGACATGTCAAGGAACGGTTTGGTCTGGACACGGAGATGCATGATGCATTTGGCATGGATCGGCTTGTGGAGAAAAGGATGGAACACCATAGAGCATCTAAAGATTTGGCCCATAATGAGGCCCAAGCACTGGCCCAACCCCTTTGAGCTCCGATGATTTTTCCTCTGCCTGGGTCTCAAGGCCATCGTGAAGTCCGAGCGGTTCAATTGCTTGGCAGATGCCCTGAAGAGCCGTCTTTTCATCAAGCTGGCGACCATGGGCCTCTTGAAAACTTAGAACTCCTTGTTCAGGTAAGGCAGCGGGCTGAGCGGGCTGAGGTTGTTGCATTGGTGGTGTGAGACTTTGCGGGGGGACACCAATGGTGGGGGTGGGGGTTGAACAGGTGGAGCTTCATTGGTCTTTGGAGTCGGAGTGCTCACCTCAACCTCACCTCCTTTCGGCCATTCAGCGACATCCAGTGACCATACTTGCCAAAGTGGATTGAGGATGATGGAGGCATC